TCATTGATGTTTCATAATAATTTCTCGTAATCTTGGCATATGGGATTGTTTTTTGGAGATATTATTTTAAAGCCATGCACTAGAAAAAACAAGGTTTGGGCTATTTCATAAGTCAATGCTTTGAAAAAAATTCATGCCAAAAACTTTTCCATTATATTATCTCATATATGAAAAAATCTCTTACTATGGGGGACAAGGCCCAGGTGTCCGCATTTTGTGAGTACTAAATATGGACGCGAAGTATGTGCAAGTATACACAATCGAACAAGTAATACAGTGATGAGTGACTATCGTCTCCACATGGATTGGAGGAAATTTATAAGTTCAATCAAAGCAAAGAACCACTTTATCTAAGTATAGTTAGTGTGATGGTATGTACTAATGAGAATGTTGAGGCAATGTGAAATGTATGCTGGTGGGGATGGAATGATAGTGTGATGTGGCAGCAAATGGAGATTTCGTGGCAAAATAAATTGTGTGCAGTGAAATCAAATTAAAATGTGAAGACAAAACAAAATGTAAACACTAGATTTGAATAAATAACTTGATAATCCTCACACAACAAGATACTATGGGAATGAATGATATGAGTCACTTAGGAAACTTAAGTTTATCTTCTCATGATGGTCTTACTTCTATGTCTTACTTTCCCGACAGAGTTTACTAAAGGTACCCTGTGCTATCTCTAGCCAAGGGACTCGATAGGTTAAAAATGCCATGGCAATACCTCTCAGCGTTAGTAGGTGCAGGGATCCCATCAATTCAACAGAATAAGTCATGGCAATACCACTCGACATTAGCACTAGCATCTAACCTCTCGATCGAACACTACTCCTTTTATTCGAATAAAATCCTAACCTTATGTCTAAGAGGGATTAGGTCTAGTTACTATCTAAAACTCATTCCTTATATTGATCCTCCTTAGTTTCTTTCGAACACTAAAGATGAGTTACTTAGCTTCTCTCGAACACTAAGTATTTTCCTAAGGAATGACTACTCTCATACCTCCTACAACCTTAAGTCATTAAGCACCATAAGAAAGAAAATAAAATCATAAAGAAAAACAACCATCCATTAAAGACAAACTTAATCATCCATAGTGAACTCCCACCGAATAGAGGTAGTTCATGGTGGGGTTCGAATAATCCATGAAACAAATCATAAAGTTCATTCGTTCCTTACAACCCAAATATGATAAGTGAGAAAGAACAATAAAAGGATGGAGGGAAAACCTTCGACATGCATTATCGAAGCTCCTCTAGGCCACCATGAACCGCCCTAGCTTGCTAGCTCTTTTGGCCGTCTAGCTCGTCATTCCCTCTAACTTGCTAATGGAGGAATGTCACAGAAAAGATGAATGGAAAGAAAAAGGTGGAAACTTTTTTTCAACCACCTGTCCTCTCAAGAATTTAAGCTCAAATGTCTAAAAATCAAATCTCCAATCCCTCTAGAAATTTGGTGGCCTCATTTCCTATTTATAGTGGTGAATAAACCTAGGGATTTGTGTCAAAATTCCCATGATACCCCAAGGTTCATTCCCTTCACGTGAGGGGTGGTACAAAGTTGGCAGTGGTCCCCTCCTAGGTGGCTGGCAGTTGAGAGTATGTGAAGACAAGGACAACTGGCTTTTTGGTCCCTCCTAGGTGGTTGGCAGCTGAGAGTATGTGAAGACAATGACAACTAGCTTTTTGTTCCCTCCTAGGTGTCGTCTGAGTTGTCGTGACATTCACATTCTGCTTAGCATTCCCAATTTTTCACGGTAATTCTCCTTGCATCCTTGCTCTCAAATCCTACACATCATCAAACAAAGCACCTTCCCCATAACACATCACCATTTTCAAAATAAAATGGCACAACAAAATATATATCCACCACATGCAACTATATGTTCCTAAATACATCTATATGATCCTATGTGAGCTTTTAGACAGTAATAACTTAAGTGAAAATGCCCTAAATATAGCATTTTTATAAAGTTATCACACCCCCAAACTTAAGCTATTGCTTGTCCTCAAGCAGTGGATAATAGTAAGCAAAACAAAAATACCATGGCAAGTTCAGGTCCAAGATAGTCTTATGAGATAAAATCTCAACCCTCATAATAGTTGTCTTCAACACGCTAGACTAGTTTAAGAAATCAATTATTGTTCCCTAGGGCAAGATCCTTTGTGTGTATGTGCGTGATTGTATCTAGTCCACGCTTAACAAATCTAGAAAATTTCTAGGCAAGCTCTGTTGTTTTGCTACGATATTTATTAGTCACTTAAATACAAGTTTACTCCCATAATGTTTTCTTTTTATTTTTTCTTTTTTTTAACTCCTACGAGGGGTGTCAACTCATCACACCTACCGTTCTAGACTTGACAATGAGGTGGAGTAAACACTCCATTCCCTAGCCTATTGGCAGAGTCATCCCATGACCACTTTCATTCACTCATATGTTGTGTCTGCCATTTATTTAAATGCAATATCCAGGAAATGCCATTGCATAGTGGAGTATACCTCTACAGTTATATCGAAGCATTTATTCACAATTTCATTTCATTTTTAGAAACATTTGGGTTTTTTCATCATTCAAGGTCATTATTAAAGTTTTATGCCAAGACATGCAAGAGTTCTCTTATAAAAAAATTTCTAAGTTCCTTAAGCATAGGAAACATACAATCGTGTATCAAAAAGTTACAAAGAAGCAAGTTCTAGAGTTAGTTCTATCATTCTCAATAGTCATGTACATTCAATTCTAGCCATAAAGAGTTTTTCATCATCGAGAATCATTAATTTATTCCAAAAAACTAACTTGAACACTTACTAATGTCATGGCATATTCATTCTACTAATATTGTCATGCAATGACCTATTAAGAGCCCTACCTCCCACAAACTTGGGAGAAGTATTGTCCTCAATGCTAAATAAAATCTAAGTTAAACTAGACTACATGTTATGCAATACATGCAATGCAATGCAAGATACCTTCACTTTCTATGGTGGTCGTGTTGTGGCGGCTGTGCGACGCGGGTGCTTACGTAATGGTGTGGGGATGGAGTGTTTAGATTCCTTAGGTTGAGAAGTCCAAATGTGATTGGTTGTCCTCTTCAGACAATGCTTGGCCAAAAGTGTTGCAATTTGCCATGGTGTTTATGCAGATGGGTGGATATCATCAGCAATGTCATCATTTGTGCCAATACCAATTAAGTCTTCTTTTTAAGTGGGTGCAGCTACTATAGGGCTTTACCCTTGTCCATATGTTTGGGAGTCTGTTCTTTCCAAAACATCTTGAATTGTTATGGTAGTTTTTTCGCGTTCGATCGGAGCACCATTATAGACCAAAATGCCCTACACATATAACAGTTCCACCTTCAAAATATTTTGCCCTGTCATTTCATGTCTTTCACATCTGAATTATAGGACCTTTACAGTATTCCTCTCTTTTTCAAAATGCTCTCTGTATGAAGCTTAATGGTAGTGGAATGAGATATCTTTTCGCTCTCTTTATTATGGCAACTTTTAATCATTTGGTTAAAAAATTCTTTGAAGAGGTAGGGGTCATCCCAATAACATTAGCCACCATCGTGTATAACCTTGTTCTTTCCCTGGCTATTCAAGTAAGGAATCAAAACACCTCTAATGAGAAAATTGACAAATTCAACATACCAAAAAAGTGCTGCTGAAATAATAATTTCTTATTAGGGAATTTTTCCTTAATCTCCATTTCATTCCTTAATTCTTTCAGAATTTCTAGCCTAGACAGATGGGCAATTACTTTGGGTTTAGGATAAGTAAATTCAATGAAATTCAAAGGTTCAAATTTCGTACCTGGTCTATCTATGAGTAAGCTAAACTTACTCATATCCTTTGAAATATCCTCGAGCTCCTCTTCGTCTTCCTCATCAAGCTTCAAGTGATTATCAGTGCATAAAATTTGATGCGACAAAATTCTGCAACTTTGGTCATCAACTCCTGCTGATGGAGGCTTTTCCTTTATCGTGATAAAATATTTCTTATTTTCATTGGTTGCACTCTTTGAACCCTCTTTCTTATTTTTCTTTTTTCCATCGAATGGGAATCTTCTTACATCTCTGGATCTTCATGTACAATCTCATGAATGGGCTCTTTGAGTGTCTCCCCCTAAACTTAACATCTTTATAGATTTTAGTGCCACTCATTAAGGTGAATGTACCATAATGCTCTCTGTCTTTAGCCTTAGTGACTTCAGTATCACTAGGTAGACTGCCCTGTGGGCGAGAATGTAATGCCTTAGCATTTTGGCCAACCTAACCCTCCAAGGCCCTCAAAGATGAGTTGTGGCTTTAAAGAAAAGCTCTTTGACTATGTAATAAGGCTCCTTGGTTTTTTATGGATGTAGTATGATCTTCGTGGTTGCTATAAAATCTTGAATCATGGCCTCCAAAGAGCTTGTGTTGGATGAAGATGGTACTCCCTTGTTAGAATTATGCCATGGCATATTCGTTTGAAAAACTTGGGAGTCGCTAAAATTTTGTTGTCTAGTGGGTTGACTAGAATTATTGGTTCCTTGATTTCCCCAAGAGAAATTTGTATACTGACATCATCCAGGATTGTAGGTTTTATAATAGGGGTTGTTATTACCTCGATTATAGTTCCCTATATAGTTAATTGACTCATGATTGGTCGGACACTCAGTCTCATGGTGATTACCATAGCAAAATAGACATGTTGTGTTTGATGCCTTCACTTCTTTCACCTCACTTGATCGTTGCAAATTCTTCAACATATTAGTGATGATAGAAAGTTGGGCGGACACAGAATTCGTAGCATCCAACTCGAATGTCCCAGGTGTTTTTCACCTGACTCTAAGCCTTGAAGATGAAAACTGATAATCATTATTGGCAATCCTATCCAGGATGTCAAATGCCTCTACATTTGATTTATCGATCAATGTCCCATTTGCCAAGGCATCTAGCATTATCCTCGTGGGTGCATTGACTCCATTATAGAACATTACTACTTAATTCCTATCTTGAAAACCATGATTAGAAGATTTGTGAAGCAATCCTTTATACCGATCTCAGAATTCATACATTGATTCATCATCATCTTGAAGAAAAAAGCAATATGGTTCCTAAGTTTGATGTTCATGTTTGGCAGATTATACCACATCAAAAAACTTTTGCATAGATCAGTCTAAGACTCCATCAAGCCATTTGGAACATGACTTAACCAAGCCCTTATTAGGTCACGCATAGAATATGGAACTAGCTTTAATTTTAATGCATTCTTTTACACTCCTTGTTGTTGGAAAAAATCACACACCTCCATGCAGTTACGAATATGATGCCTGGCATCTTCATGAGGCATGCCCCCAGACAACCCTATAGAATTCAACATATTAAACATGACTGGTTTGAGCTCAAATTGGACTGACTGAATCTCGGGTGCCATAATTTCATGATTTAGATCGTCCAAGATAGGTTAAGTGATCTGGAATACCACAAGGCCAAGCTGCATTTCCAACATTCGGAATTACCTCGGTATTTTGATCTTCCTCTTGATTAATACCTTGATTTCTAATTTGATACATGTTTGCTTGAGCACTTTGAGCACATCTCCTTTTCCTAAAAAGCCTCTCAATCTCAGGTTCAATTGGTTCTAATGGCTCATCAGAGTGTCTTCTAGTCATACACCAAGAAAAAACATGAAAAAGGCAGAAAATAACAAGTAAAACTATACAAAAACTGAAGAAGTAAAATAAAAATGTTATGACAAAACTAATTAACTTCTAGTTGCCAATCCCCATCAACGATGCCAAAAACTTGTCCGCGTTTTGTGAGTACTAAATATGGACACGAAGTATGTACAAGTATACACAATCGAACAAATAATACAGTGATAAGTTAGTATTGTCTCCATAGGGATTGGAGGAAATCTATAAGTTCAATCAAAGCAAAGAACCACTTTATCTAAGTATAGTTAGTGTAATGGTAAGTACTAATGAGAATACTGAGACAATGTGAAGTGCATGTTGGTGGGGATGGAATGATAGTGTGATGTGGCAGCAAATGGAGATATCGTGGAAAAACAAATTGTGTGTAGTGAAATCAAATGAAAATGTAAAGGCAAAACAAAATGTAAACACTGGATTTGAATAAAATAACATGACAATCCTCACACAATAAGCTACTATGGGAATGAATAATATGAGTCATTTAGGAAACTTAAGTTTATCTTCTCATGATGGTCTTACTTCTATGTCGTACTTGCCTGATAGAGTTTACTGAAGGTGCCCTATGTTATCTCTAGTCAAGGGACTCGACAGGTTGAAAATGACATGACAATACCTCTTGGCATTAATAGGTGCAGGGATCCCATCAGTTCAACAAAATATGTCACGACAATACCACTCGACATTAGCACTAGCATCTACCTCTCGACCGAGCACTACTCCTTTTAGTCGAATGAAATCCTAGCCTTATGTCTAAGGGGGATTAGGTCTAGTTACTATCTAAAACTCATTGCTTATGTTGATCCTCCTTAGTTTCTCTCGAACACTAAAAATGAGTTACTTAGTTTCTCTTGAACATTGAAGATATGCTACCTAATTTCTCTCGAACACTAAGTATTTTCCTAAGAAATGGATACTCTCATATCTCCCACAACCTTAAGTGATTAAGCACCATAAGAAAAACAAATAAAATCATAAAGAAAAAAACATCCATTAAAGAAAAACTTAATCATCCTTAGTGAACTCCCACCAAATAAAGCTAGTTCATGGTGGGGTTTGAATAATCCATGAAACAAATTGTAAAGTTTATCCGTTCCTTACAATCCAAATATGATAAGTAAGAAAGAACTGCAAAGGGATGAGGAAAAGCCTTCGATGTGCACTGTCAGAGCTCCCCTCGACCACCGTGAACCGTCCTAGCTTGCTAGCTCCTCTCGAACGCTTAGCTCGTCACTCCTTCTAGCTTTCTAATGGAGGAATGCCACGGAAAAAATAAAGGGAAAGAAAAGGGTGGAAACTTTTTCTTCCAGCCGTCTCTCATCTCAAGAATTTATGCTCAAATATCTAAAAATCAAGTCTCTAATCCCCCTAGGAATTTGGTGTGCCTCATTTCCTATTTATAATGGGGAATAAACCTAGGTATTTGTGTCAAAATTCCCATGATACCCTAAGGTTCATTCCCTTCATGTGAGGGGTGGTACAAAGGTGGCAATGGTCCCTCTTAGGTTGTTGGCAGATCAAAGCACGTGAAGACAAGGACAGTTGGCTTTTTGATCCCCTCCTAGGTGGCTGGCAGCTGAGAGTACGTGAAGACAAGAATATCTACTGGCAACTGAAAGCACGTTCAGACAAGGACAACTACTGGTAGCTGAGAGTACGTGTAGACAAGGACAACTAGCTTTTTATAAAAATATATTATTTTTGTCTTTTTCTGCTCAAGAAATGTCGTCTTATTTTTTGCGACATTCACATTCTATTCAGCATTCGCAATTTGTCATGACAATTCTCCTCGCGCATCCTTGCACTCAAATCCTGCATATCATCAAACAAAGCAACTTCCCCAAAACGCAACACTGTTTTCAAAATAAAATGTCACAACAAAATATATATCCACCACATGCAACTATGTGCTCCTAAATGCATTTACATGATCCTATATGAGCTTTTAGACCCTAAATATAGCCTTTTTATGAAGTTATCATCAGGCCTACCTCCGCCCTATTAACGGCGGAGTGATAAAAAACAATGTATAAAGTTTATTGAAAACTTTTAAAGTACAATGACTACAATAGGAATGATTAGAAAGTTTAGTTATTAAATTTATAATTTACTCACTCTTTATTATAATATAAATTATTTTTAGTGGGTGTAAATTTTTGACATTTTTATCGAAATATCACTTAAAAGAGTTATTTTATGAATTAACACCCACTTTGAATTAATTTCTGGTTTTTTTTTTGTGTTATATAAGGTAAAAACATAACACATCAGTCGTACCTTTAAAAGCATGTCATGCAAGCCATTTCTTTACCTACGTGGCAGTATGATTGAAAGATCTTAACATAGATCGACCACGAGTGAAAGAAAGGAAAAAAGGAAAAATGTAAAAAATTATACGAGTTTAGTCCAAAAGAAGGAATATATGTTGTACGTATCAAAGACATGTATTTATGTAACTATAGACACTTAATTTCGTTCGTCATTATTATATTATATAATATTACAAATTATATTATATAATTCTACATTTATATATTTATATTTATTTACATTCTATTTTTTAGGCCCAATGGTAAACACGCCCAACAATCACCAGGGGCTCGAATCAATAGAAACCCACACGCAACCCAGCAGAACACCCAAACTAGATCCCATGGGGGACCCGAACCCGAACCGGTCCAGCTAAGGTTTGAAACCCTAGCTTTCTTTTCTTGTCCAACACCGCAAGTGAGATCCCCATCCGCTCGGTCGTCGTTTTTCACGTTTCACGTAGCCGATTATCTCGGTTCTACAAATGAACCATGCGTCAATAGGACTCCAAAGCCATGAAAACACCACAAAATCAGGAGTTTCAGTTCAAATGGGACTCAAGAATTCAAACTAAGAATAGTAAACTAATAGGGTATAAATACATATAAACTCAACACTACTCAGACACACAATACACAAGGCAAATACGCAAGAAATCATACGAAAAATCAGAGTAAGCATACTCAAAGAGCACTTGTACTCTTCGAAATAAGAAATAAAGAAGAAAGGTAATTTTTTTACCTTCGATTTATTTGTGTGGCTTGCATGATGTCCTTGTTCGATTTAAAATCGTTTTAAAAAACTATTTTGATTTGCGAAATAAGGGTAAAAAGGTTTTCGAATCTTTAAAAAAGAAAAAGGGAAATTTTCACCGCCGATGACGGTGGCCCACCGAAAACTGGGTTTCACGGTGGCTATTCTTCATCCATGAAGAACATGGATGAAAACGTGAGAGAATTTGTTTGGTTTGTGTTTTGATTTGTTTTGGGGGTAAGTGAAAATGTTTGTGTTTGTGTAGGTTGGGCTTTATACCCAACCCATGGAGCAATTGCCAACCCGACCCATTAGCCTCTGACCGCGTGTTTTTAAATAAAAGGGGAGAATTACAATTTAGATCCCCCATTTTTAAAGCCTTCATTTTACCCCTTAAATCGAATTTGCACATCGAATTTCCTTTTAAATTTACCCCCCAATTTTGTTTTCCTTTTAATTTAGTCCTTTTATTATTCTTTTTCTTATTTTTATTTGTTCATTTTATTTTTATTTTATTTCCTATTATTTTTTTATTTTTATACGTTGTTATATATATTTTTTATTTTTATTTTATTTTAATCCTTTTATTATTTTATTATTTTTGGCTTATTTTATTTATTTTTTGCTTATTTTATTTTTATTTTACATCTTATTATATATATTTCTTTTAATTTTGTTTTCCTAATGTTTATATATATATATATATATATATATATATGTGTATATTTTTAATTATTTTATTAATTATTATATTATATATATATTACTAACCTAACATTTGAATTATCATCTCCTAGGGGCTCCCCTTTTGTCTCTAACCAAAATTTTCCCCACTTTCAGTGAAGTGATGGGGGTAATTTTTTTTTAAATATTTATATTGTACATATATTTTATTTGTTTTATTAATATTTTGATGTATATATATATATATATTTTTCTTTTTTCAAATATTACTATAAATATATTATTTCTTTACTATTATTTTTTCCTTATCTTATTTATTTTTCTTCTATTTTTTTTTATTTTCTTTATCTTCGATTTATTTACTCATATTTATTTATTTATTGTATTTATCTTTATTCTTTTTTTTCTTTATATTTATTTTTTACTTTTTACTTTTCAACTTTACTATATATTTTTTTATTTTCTTTATCTCATTTTATTTATTTCATTTTTCTTTATTTTATTCTCTTTATTTTATTTGTTTTCTTTACCTTTTTTCTCTAACACATTCTTGACTTTTAAAAGGTACACTTATCAAATCAATAAGAGGTAAGTTTTGGATCGTTATTTTACCTTTTTACTTAAAATTGAAATTTTCTTAATTAAAGACAACTGGAAATTA